TGATTTCATAATTATTGCTATATATCATGTTGTAGGATATCCTAATGCATGGCTATGTTGAAAATTTCAAAGAATTTCGTCAAAAAACAAGAAAGATATTGAGACTTTAGTTTCAGCCAATCAGAGCAAAGCGCACGTGCATGCGCGTGAGATCTTGCTATTTTGACCATGTCATGTTGTCTATGCTACTAATATATCCTTATGTTATGAGTTTCAAAGCATTTCATCAAAAATTGAAAAAGTTACGTCTATATCAATTATATTGGGCATTTCTCGTGTTGCACGTGCGCGCTCTTGCAAGCACGTGCGCGCAAAATGACCTTTGTTCGGCAAATCTACATAACATGTCTACTGACCCTAAAAACATTTTACCTTAGTCAGATGTGTAGTTTACAAGATCACTCGAGGACAAAATTTTCCCAGGAATAATAATAATAATAATAATAATAAGAAACAGAGTAAAAACAATATGTTCCCCAACTTCGTTTGGGGAACATAATAATAAGAAACCGAGTAAAAACAATATGTTCCCAAACTCCGTTTGGGGAACATAATAAGAAACAGAGTAAAAACAATATGTTCCCCAACTTCGTTTGGGAACATAATAATAATAATAAGAAACAGAGTAAAAACAATATGTTCCCCAACTTCGTTTGGGGAACATAATAATAAGAAACAGAGTAAAAACAATATGTTCCCCAACTTCGTTTGGGGAACATAATAAGGGTAATCACAAAATCCAGACCTCTGGAAATTCCAAAGGTGGGATAATGTGCATAGAAGGAGTCACCCTATGCATTGATCAAGTAGACAGAACATTGCGTAGTCAACTTTAGTATTAAAACAAAGGTCTAACAATTGGCATGAAACAAAATCAGCCTAAGTACATCTAAATGATAGGTCATATTTGCTCACAACGTCATTATAACGATCATTGGATTTACGAAATGCTGACTCAGCTGAGGATGACAGAATCATCTGACCTTCAAATATGCTCATTTGAACATCGAGTCTCCTGTTTATTATGTACATTAAAACCGCAAAATAGTGAGTGCTGACTAGTATATCCAGTTTGTCAAAGGTGGGGTGTCGGACAAAGGAAGTAAAACGTGAGAGAAACATCGCTAAAAAGGGAAGTGAATTGTTATATGTAACTATTGACCATTGTTGGAAACCTTAGTGTTTTCACAAACAGGATGCAGAGGTGTGCATCTATTGAGGATCGAGCATCTTATACAACAGGCTTAGAGAGATCAAATCAGATAACCTTAACTTCTTTGAAGGTACATTGTACACATAGGTATGTTTTCTAATTAAATCTTATTTATCTAATAATATTTATAGAATATAGATCAATAGTAGATTTTTACACATTTTAGACATATATAACTTGTATTAAACTTAATTACATCTTGTTTAATGTTTAATTGTTTCTCCATTCTTTTGTACTCATATTTTGACATTTGTTGCTAAATATATTATGTTTTTTACTAAATTTTTTAAACTTTTTGAAATTTTATCTTTAATTACCTGAAATTTCCTGTTTATAACGAATAACATAAGAAATATTAATATTTTCTTAACAGATTTTCAACGGAATCTATTTTAACCCACCAGTATCTGAAACATGCGGATCCGAGAATCAGGGAAAAGGAAGGTATAAAAATCTTGTTATTTAACGATCTTTAAGCGTGTAGGTTTTTAGTGACCTCGAGTATTTTTTTGTACTAGTATACAAAATCAGAAATCTCAATCGTCGATTTAATGACATACTTATCGTTGCATTGGCCTTTTATATGTGATTATCTGAGATAAAAGGCATTGGTTGAAGAAAGAAATAATCGGAAGACAGTACCAATATCAATACCACAGAAACAACAGTCGACATCATGCAGTATGATAGGGCTGGGCATTGGCCCGAGATTTCGTATTGCGATATTTGTAACTGTATTGCGATACGTATATTTTCAATGTAATAAAAATGGCATTTTCTTACTATATTTACCTTAATTTACATGCAGAATGTACATAACTATGATTAATTACCAACACGAAAAAAAAATCTTGTTGATTTCATTTAAGTTATGCTCTTAAATGTTTCCACAAAACAACTTCTGTCTTACTGTTTGGCTTAATAACAAACTTTTAAAGTCCTTTTTTTATATTTAATCATTTTAATGTCAAAATTCTTTAACCTAATCATATTGTCAATATATCGATATTTCAAAATCGTATTGCGATACGATATTTTTTGTCATTGTATTGCAATATATTGAAATATCGATATTATTGCCCAGCCCTACAGTATGATAACTGCGTTTATCCACTTTCTGTGTGTGTGGATGTTCTTCATGAATTGTTTAGGAGAACTAATCCGCTCTGGAAATGAGAGGAAAAGTTCTTGTTGCAGGGTCATCTCAACCAGTTCATGCGTATACCGGTAATATATCGTCAGATTTATTGCAGGAACCCACCCCCACCAACTCTGTTCCTATGGGCATGAATTCATATAATTTATTCAAATTCAATACATGTACAATGTAAATATTATGAATTCTATGTTTTCGAAATTTCCAAGTCCTTTTTCTTTACAGGATGCAACTAGGGTGTACGATATTCCTGGAGAGCTTTTTCCAGGGAAGCAAATAATACTAAAAGGGCGTGTTCCATGGGGATCGACATCGTAAGTACACGGGTAATAGAGAGCACGACAGCATTGTTTATATTTTTGTATGATGAGAAAAACGCCATTTTACCTGATGTATTCTTATCATAAGATTGGTTGATTATTAATAATATATTGTTTAACGTCCATCTCGAGAATTGTTCACTCATATGGGAAAGTCAACACTTGCCGATGAAAGCTGCAAATTTTGTCCAATACTCGTCACTTAGGGCCATTGAGCAGGGAGAGTTCGTTTTCGTGCCAGCACCTTCTGTGGCACGGGGCCTTTTTTATATGGTCTCATACGAAGGACAGGTCTTCACATCTCACATTGGGATTCGAACCTGCAGCGTAAAGATCAGCTCCTTACTTTGCGACTCTGGAACAAACGCTCTAACCACTGCGCCACGCGGGCGACTATCATAAGATAAAAGAAAGCAAATTTATTACAAGGGTGCACGTCCATGCAAATCTTATTTTGAGCCCTATAGCTTATTACAGACAGGGAGGCAATAGAGACACTATTGAAGTAACGCTAAGGGATCAAATGAAACATATGGAGATGACGAACAGTATTCAAGATCAAATTTACAAGTGCAGAGAACAATATAAAATAGGAGCAGATCAAACACGGACATCCAAAACATCAGAGGTGCGTGGGATCGGGTGCCCCGTAGGATTTTGCATCCCCTGCCAACCACCAAACCTGCCGTGTGCTCCTTGTCATGATGGGGGGGGGGGGGGCAAAAAACGTTGACAATTCAGTGTCTTAACAATTGGTTAACAATTAGTATGAGTATGAAAAGCGTCAGTCAGCATTTACGTTTGTTAAGTTGTTTTGCCAGAAAGGTCATTGTATTGACCATAAAAAGGACAATTAAATAAATTTGAAGTTCTAATTATGGTCAAGAAACTCCATCAGACCCAAACTTAATTTTACGTTTGTTCCTCCCCTGTAGATAAATATACAGTTTGGTTTCACCAGATATATGTAAACTTGTAAAAATTGTATTAAACTATTAAAATACTTTGATCTCTTCTTTTCCTCTTAAAGGTTCTCAATCAATATTTCTTCAACTCCAAAGATGGGCGATGGTGACATTATTCTCCATTTTAATGCCCGCCTCCCTGAAAGAGTTTGTGTGAGAAATGCTTTGATTAATGGCTCCTGGGGCGCAGAAGAAAAGGATCAGCCATTTTTCCCATTCTACGACGGCAGGTCTTTTACTTTTATAATAGAAGTCACTGATGATGCCTTCAGGATTTATGTAAATGGGAGACACTTCGTGAACTTTTCTCATCGTACTGGCTACCGAAAAGGCAACTATCTCATTTTAAGGGAGGGAGCAGAGTATTATGACGTCATATTCCTAGAAAAACCCGTAAGTAATAGAACATACTTCAATCTTTACGAACTGAAGGCTTATTACATACTGCATAGAAAGCAGGCTACATATTACTTTGGTATCACAAACACCTATCAAAGTTTGTCACACTGAGGGCTAGCATATTCCAAGTTTTTGAAAAAGAAATACTTATATGTTAAAGATTTTTTTCTTTCAATGAAAAAGCCATCTGATTAGAAGGCACTATCTGCATATCTATTTTTACAACTAGTGTTGGCAAAGAGAACCCGGTTAACCGGTTAACCGTCGAACGATGCGAGTATCGGTTAGTAAGACTGCTATTCGGTTACTCGGATAAAAATACATTTTTCATGGTAAATACGTATAAAATGATTTTTGTGCTATTTGTAAGCGTATATTGACACATTTCCCGAATTCAATGACCGTTAATTACCGTTAGCTATAGGCTTGCTTTACTGGTTTACAATTGGGATCGATTTGTTTTGATTAGTTTTCACAGCGTATATACAATGTAATTGATGGCTTTGATTACCATGAGGGTACATGTTTTGAAAACTTGAGTTATAATTTCTCAAGTTGACCTGTGATAGTTAGAGGAACTTACTTTCACAAGATGCCGCCGCAAACATCTAAAGCGTGGATATATTCAAAAACAAAAGCGACTGAATCGAAATCTATCAAATGCAAATTATGTGAATCGATATTGTCGTATACGGGTGGAACTACAAATATGCTAAATCACCTTAGATTGAAACATAATTCGGAAAGCAGTGATTTGCAGGAAATTCCACAACAGGGTCGTGTGTTATTTTTTTCTTAAACGAAAACAAACTGACTGTTTCAAGTGACATTTAAAATCAATAGTGTTCGAAGATGTTGTGTTTTTTAAAGTTTGTATTTGTAAATAAATTAAAATTCATATACGTTGCATTTGTGGATTACTTTTACCAATAAGTAAAAGGATGAGGTTAGTAATAAATACGGAAACTTTAGCAAAAATCATCCGAGTAACCGGGTACTCGATCGGAAGATAAAGCGAGTAACCGGTTACTAAAAATCGTCCGATTTGCTAACACTATTTACAACCAAAAGATAACTCAAAATTTCAAAGTTTTGCAATAATTCTCTCTTTTTTCCAGATCATTCCATTCAGTGCAATCATTCACAAAGGAATGAAAATTGGAAAGACTTTAAGAATTCGAGGCATGTGCACAGACCAAGATGGGTATAGTTTCTTTAGAAACTTCAATCCAACTGTATTTCAAACTTAGATTTCTTGAAAAAATATGGTTATTGTTATTTTGCAGATTTGCGATTAATTTCATGGATGGAGGCAGTAATATCTACTTTCACTTTAACGCCCGACCTAGGGAGGCATTAGTCGTAAGGAACTCCAAGTTTGGAGGCTGGGGGAAAGAGGAAAAAGATTGTCCAGCAGGATTTCCATTTAACCCTCTAGAATACTTTGATGCCTCGTTTGTCTGCATGGAAGACAAATTTGCAGTAAGCATCAGAGTTAGCCAACTAATTCACGTGTCATGGATCCCATGCCTGTATCTTTTACAAGAAAGAAATCAGTGCAAATACCAAGTGTATATTGCAGTTAGGAAAACTGATATTGTAGATGCCTATTTACGAGAGGTGTTATTTTTTAAAGGTGCAGAAAAAGAATGGAAAAATATGTTAACTGTTTTTTTTAAACATTTTTATTAAGTCTGTACTGTTATAATTGCTGAAACTTCTAAATATCTTAAACCATTAATTCCCAAATGTACCAACTTAGAGTTTCATGAATTGATAGAATAAAAAAGAATTTATAAGCTCCATTTTAATCATTTAAGGTGTATGTGAACGATGGACATTTCATAGATTTTTACCATCGAGGCAATCCCACCAACATCACGGTTCTCAATGTCACTGGTAGTGTTAACATCTTTGACGTGGACTGTTTGGAGCCGGTGGTCTGTATATTGCAAACAAAAACTACACTTATAGAATATAACCCTAATACAACAAAAAATCCTATTTGTTTGTAGTGTTTATAGTCATATAGGTTTCTATAATGTTTTCAGGGAGAAGACTCTATGACTGAGGTGGAATCTGGCTTGGAGAAAGGGGACATCTTTGTTCTCAATGGCATGATGAAAAATGATGGAAAAACGTACGTCCTATTACTATTGATGCCTTTTACATTTACTGTCTGATATTAAGTCATTAGAAGAAGTCGTTTTACAAAATAGCTATTGAGTTCGTTCTGAATCCCTCTGTTTCCTTTTAATAGGTTTGCGATCAACTTCCTGAATGGGTTTTCTGCGGACGGAGACATTGCCCTACATTTTAATCCGCGGAGGAATACGGGAGATGTGGTTCTTAACAGTCGGTTTGGAGGGGCGTGGCAGAATGAGGAGAAGGTCCCCTTACCCTTGGTCTTCTGGTCTAACAGGCCATTTCAAATCAAAATAGAGACAAAGAAACGAAAATTTACGGTACAATAGTCTGTTTCTTCAATAAAGACCAAATTAATCGCAATATGTACTTTCATCAATATTCATATTTACATTCAATTAATGAAAAGACGAACTTAAATTTTCGTGTATAAATGAATTCTTATGTTAGTTAAGTCATTATAGACTTAAGATGTAAGACTGATCAGTAAATGTGAGATACCATTAATATTAATTTACATGTATATGAAATAGTCCAAAATTTTAACCGCAGATCTCACTAAATGGGGTTCGACTAGCACAGTATAGAATGCGTGACAGTGTCGAGAAAATCCGGGCTATTCAGATTTCCGGTGATGTCTTCATACTAGAGACGCTGCTGATGAAAAGATTGGTAAACTCTCTCTCTCTCTCTCTCTCTCTCTCTCTCTCTCTCTCTCTCTCTCTCTCTCTCTCTCTCTCCTTGTGTGTGAATGCAGGTGTTGAATATGTTGTTTTTAAGTGCGTATATCTTTATTAAAACATATGAAGGAGGAGCCGATTTGGGAGCGGTTGCCCGGAGGATTAAGACCAGGAAGTTGGGTTATTCTTCAGGGAACCCCAAAAAAGTACTGGACAGGGTAAGTTAAGTTTGTTTACTTTTCAGAAGTTAAATCAAATAAAAATTTACAATCCTACAAAGGCTTTGAATTATAATTCTATATACTGTACTTTCGAGATTTGAAAATAATGGATTCTGATTCGAAAACATTTATCATTCCTTGAAAACAAGATTTCTACTTAAAGGATTCAACTGTTTATCTTAACTAGATTTTCTCAACAATTATACATCTAAAACATGTATATTTCAAACTTCCTCTCTGACATATAAGCTGCATTTTACAAATCCAAAAATATAATGTATATAATGTATAAAAATAAAATATTATGATTTTAGTATTATTATAAGTACATGCTTTTGCCAGATTTGGTATAAATTTTCGGTACGATGACCGGGAGGACGGAGACATTGCTTTTTTCTTCAATCCCCGGAAGAACGACGGACAGGTAGTCAGAAATCACAAACAGTATAACCAGTGGGGACCGGAAGAGAGAAGTACCCCCAACTTCCCATTTGATGCCGGAAACACTTTTGAAATAGTTTTCTTTGTCAGAGAAGACAAGTTTTTGGTAAGTAGCCATCCTTCTATAATACAGAAGGGTGCGTATCCATCTCTTATCTGCAACTCCTTCTTTACCACTCAATAAAATTATTGAAATTAAACAATGTTTAATGAATGATACTTTCACTGATTCTTTATTACATTATGCTATTGTGACCTCCTATTTCACTTTTTGATCTGACACTTATTTTGGGTCTTCCAGACAAAACAAAACTTTGCAATTATAATTTAGTTAGCTCAGTACTCAAAGTGCAGTTTTACTTTGTGTAGCCATGTTCTAAAGATACAAAAAACAGGCCGCCGAGTTAATGTATGTATGTACTTAGTCAAGTCTCACACATTATTTATACCACAATTTCAGAATATCAGCAATATATATGGCCACTTACCAAAGTTGATTATTTATCTACTGGAATTTAAGGGATTTCTTACATGCAAATTAAGATAAATATATTTTTGTCTTGCAGACATATGTGAACAGCAAATCCTTTATCGAATTTAATCATCGTCTTCCTTTGGAAAGAATCAACTTTCTCTCAATGAAAGGAGACTGCAACTTCTACGAGCCAGAGCTGCTTGTTTAGATCATAGAAGAACAGTGTCACATGTTCAGTGATATACTAGTAGCATAAACATTCTATGTTTCAAAAGCTTTGATCTGTTTATTTATTTTTAAAAGGTTCATATTTATATATGTCATTGTGCTTCCTTTTTCAATAATTTAATCAAATACTGCTAGATGTTATATTTTTTTTTATAAAAGTAATGTGCAATTTTTGCCGTCAATGTTTTAAGAAAGGGATCCAATGCACACCCAGGGGAAAGGAAATTTTATTCGTATAAGAAAAAGTTATAGTGATGGTACACAAAAGGTTATATGTATGTATAAATTCAGTTGAAATTTTAATTATTCAATTTTTGCTTTAAATAAGAAATGGAAAAAATTAAATGGATTCATGTAATGCAACTTCTTATATAAGACGCTCTTTCCCCAATTTTTTTTTAAATGTACTTGACAAATTTGTAGAAATTGAACATTTTCTTCAGTTTTCTTTATTTGTTTGGATGCAACATCATTCAAATGTAACATAGAGAGTATGCCTTTAGGACTTGCTGTGGATGTATTGAAATAAAAATAATCTGCTTTGTTGAAGTTTCTGCTTAATATGGAAGGGTGTTGGTGTCACCTGGATACTTTATTTTTTTTATCCAAACTTTAATCTGTAAATATTCTTTAATCTGTAAAATTTACACTTCTATCTGTTAAATTTACACTTTAATCTGTAAATTTTACACTTTAATCTGTAAAATTTACACTTTAGTCTGTACAATTTACACATTAATCTGTAAATTTTACACTTTAATCTGTAAATTTTACACTTTTATCTGTAATTAAAAAATCAAATTGAATGAATTAAAACTTGGAGACTGAATAACGACAATATTTTTAACAATAAACTATAACAGAAAAAAAACAAATATCTACATGACAAAAAGACTTCCTGTTTTTCTTTCTTGTTTGTTACAAATTTATATTTTGGCATTTTGTTCAAAATGAAATATAACAGATATAACTCAGATTTCTATGTTTTAGAGCTTTTATGCATATGGTGAATGTAAAGAAAAATCAAAGAAATCACAAGTGCCGTTTCAGTCTTTTTATTATTATTCTTTTCATTTTGGGGTAAGTAAGAAAAAGGGATAGCATAAACGTTAAGTATAAAAAGCAAACATATATTTATAAGCTACATATTACACTGTTTATACATGCACATCAAATTGAAAGTATAAAATGAATTTTTTGTCAGGGAAGAATAATTTACAAAATATATTGTTACAGCTAAATTATTTTTAAAACTTATGCTGAATATTCACCTACATACCTCGGAATGAAATTTTAGGCAGGGGCAAAAACAAGATGAATAAGTATTAAAAATTTTGTTGATAACATTAGATTTTAAATGATTTTAAGGCAATGAGACATTACCTTTAGAGCAACCCTCAGACTACGAACAATAGAACAGAACAAGTCAAACTATTTTTTTCTTACTTAAGCATCGATTATAGATGGAAAAATACAATTAAAAATATAAAAACGGGTTATTTTTTAACATAACAGTATATATAATGTATTAAATATCAGCAATAAAATGCATTGTAAAATTAATAAAGAACAATAAAAAATAACGTTTTTACTTCGATGTTTAACTATCCTGCGGTTGGTTAATCAAGTGATCCTGCACCCTCTAGTTCTTCATTTTGCTCAAGAAATTCGTCGTCAGGAGACGGGGTTTTCAGAATCTCCTTTTCATTATAAATGACCCTTTTTTCTGCATATGCAATGCTCGGTTCACTTTTTAAAATATAACAAATAACAAAATTAGACTATTTAGACATTATATATACGTCAGAATAGCAAGAAATACATTTCTATCTTTTCATAGACTACCGTAATTTGGCTGAAAACTGCCGGATAAGCGTTAAAAATAATTCAATCATTGACATTTATAAATTTTACAAACGAAAAATGAGATGATGTTTTATCAGTGTAATTTTTTTTTCTCTTTCATTTCTTTAATTCAATCAGACTGAGAAAAAAAACTCCCATATGAAGTGATTACGTTTCGTACACTTACCTAATATCTCCCAACCTGAAATCATAACAATAAATAGTTTTCAGATTAAACGGTGCTGTGTGAAATAAAATGAAAGAACAAATTATATATTTTGGCTATGATTCGGGCCTATAGGAGAACTTTGTTGTATATATTTTGACTTATATCCCACTGTATATTAAACACAAAGAGCAATCACAAGCTTAAACCTTTTACAAGGCCACATTGCAGCCTGATCAGGGTTTCCTTTTAGCCTATTTTTCTTTTTTTTTTTAATTCATTCAAAACATCATTTGGATTGCTATTATTCAACTTGTTTCCAACATCTTAAATATTAATGAATTTATTAGATGCATCATGTGTACCACTGTTTTATGTAAGATGGCAATTTTAGTTATAATTTTTGCGAATCCAAAGCCGACGGTTTAGTTTAATTCTATTTGAAATATAAATATTTTTAAATAGTTAATAAACGGAAAACAACTATATATTAATAAAAAAGATATAACTAATCAATTAATTACTTTGAGACAATGATGTCAACCATGATGCGAAATTCTCCCCTTAACCTGGTGCATCTATGTTGATCATGCCTAGATGAGCAATTGGATTCCATCTTTTCCCATAACGTCTGAAACTGGGCTACCTTCTCTTGTAGTTGTAAAAGTTGTGCTTTATAACTTTTCTTAAATTTCAGTATCTCTGTTTCCGATCTGTTCAGCTGAAATCAATATTTAATTTTATATGTTGTGCATTATTTATTTGATATATTGTGATATATTGACACTGTCATGCCTTTATGCATATACTATTCTCAAAGAAACAGATACGAACAGATACATACCTTAATCTGATATTGTTGTGCAAGGTATCGCTTTTCTGCCTCTAGTCGAATGTTATAGATATTCCTAATGATATGTGTGGTCTGAATGATCTGTGCATCCCAATACTGCTGTATTCTTGTTTTGTCAAATACCCACTCGTCATACATCTTTATTCCGATGGTCTGTAATTAAAAAAAAAAACAACATTGCCCTACCTTTTCTCCGTCTTTTTTTCAATAATAACATCTTAAATATTAATTCAATATAAAAATGATTATGTTTTTTTTTAGTTTTAGTGAAGTGATTCTTCGTGTCTTCATAACAAAGAAACAAAATGACACAGACTACATACCTTATTGTGTGTTGTTTGGAAGAATGTTCGTTCTGCATTGCACATGGCTAGACGACTGTGGGCAGTCTTTAAATTCCACTCTTTCGTATTTGAAAAAGTCACATTCCACTATAAAAGAGGGTCATATAACTTAAAATCATTTAATTGTTAATATGGAAACAAAATTAATTTGATTACTCGGTTACTGCAAATTTAATAATAAAAGATTATGATCATAAACCTCTTTCATTTGGCTAACTGTGGAGGATAATTTTTCATTACTCTCTGACAGGGTGGCGACCTTCTCTTCTAATGACTTTATTCTGCTATTTTTAATTTCCAGTGCCCTTTTATATCTAAAAAGAAAAGTAAATTTATTTTATTATGAAATTGAAAATAAACGCATTAGATTCTACAGCATGTTGTTACTATCATGTGTACATGATGTAAAACATGGATAAAAGTGTAGAATTGTAAAATCAATCTTTTAAAGTTTTTCGAGAATAAAATACGCCTAGGTAATAACTGCATTTGAATTTTCTTTTATCTATTTGTGCTGAATGCTTAAATCAGGAAAAAATGTATTAGAAACAAACCTAATTTCATTTCTTTCAAGTTCATCGATTCGTTCGCGTTCTTTGCTGCAGACTATTGAAATGTCGGTGAATTTGTCTATCATATCGTCCCACTGCAACTGATATTGTGATCTTATCCTTTCCTCTAGACTGACTTCCTGTTTTGTAAATTTATCAACCGTTGTTTTCAACGAAAAAATCCTTTCATGGAGTTCCTGTATTCTTGGGTGATAATACGATACGTTTCGGATCAGAATCTCAAGGTCCTCTCGTAATTGATAGATGTCTTCGAGCTCTAGGATGTCGCCTTCATCAATTGTTGACATACCACCAAAAATCAGCAGCAGTGATCGAACATTGAAATCAATGTCAGCATAAATGTGTGACTGCGGAACACAGGGTACCGGGCAGCTCTCCATGTTGATATACCTGGAACTGCTGTTATAGATTACACCGTGGGTTTATATATACATGTCAGCCGCTGTGTGCAAAAATTCTTAGAAGCAAATGAACGTCATCATTATTATTCAGAGTTTCTCGGAAGTTCAGAAGTTATGACTATATTCATTGCTTCGTCTAAGCGAAAATGCAGAGCGTATATTCTGATCAAATAAGAAAACAGCTATTAAACTGCATTAATTCTATATAATCTTCTAGAGAAACCAGAAGTCTTTGATCAGGCTGTAGCTCTTCTGGTTTGTATTTGTTACAAAGGAAAAGAAACACTTGCACTTAATATTATGCTTCAGCAAAACATGTAATTTAGATTTAATTGATTTCTAAAGATTTATTGCAATCAGATTAAAACTGCTTGAGAAGAAGTCTTTTGAAAAAGTTTTCTAAAAATTGATTAATAAGAAACCAAGGTAAAACTGCTCAAAGAAATCAAAAAATGATACAAAATTTTGCATCCCTTTTTAGTCTACTTGTGTGCATATTTATAATGAAATCAGGTCCAAACAGTAGGGATAATAGCATTATTAAGTATTTTACAATTTTTTATACCCGCACTTTCTAAAGAAAGTTCGGGTATATTGTTGTTACTCATGTCCGTCCGTCCGTCCGTCCGTCCGTCTGTCACACTTTTCTTCCCTGAACTCCTCTTACATTTTACACAGTAGCCTAATCATCTTTTGGGAGATGGTTGGTGGTGTCATGTAGATGTGCAGTAAGGTTTCGGAATTTTGATTTTGCCCCGGGGGGTCAAATGGGGGTCGAAAAATGACGTTTTTTATGCAAAAAGCCCCGTCTTCCCTGAACTCCTCTTACATTTTACACAGTAGGCTAATCATCTTTTGGGAGATGGTTGGTGGTGTCCTGTAGATGTGCAGTAAGGTTTCGGAATTTTGATTTTGCCCCGGGGGGTCAAATGGGGGTCGAAAAATGACGTTTTTTATGCAAAAAGCCCCGTCTTCCCTGAACTCCTCTTACATTTTACACAGTAGCCTAATCATCTTTTGGGAGATGGTTGGTGGTGTCATGTAGATGTGCAGTAAGGTTTCAGAATTTTGATTTTGCCTTGGGGAGTCAAATGGGGGTCGAAAAAATGATGTTTTTTATGCAAAAAGCCCCGTCTTCCCTGAACTCCTCTTACATTTTACACAGTAGGCTAATCATCTTTTGGGAGATGGTTGGTGTTGTCATGTAGATGTGCAATAAGGTTTCGGAATTTTGATTTTGCCCCAGGGGGTCAAATGGGGGTCGAAAAATGACGTTTTTTATGCAAAAAGCCCCGTCTTCCCTGAACTCCTCTTACATTTTACACAGTAGCCTAATCATCTTTTGGGAGATGGTTGATGGTGTCATGTACATGTGCAGTAATATAAGGTTTCGGAATTTTGATTTTGCCCCCGGGGGTCAAATGGGGGTCGAAAAATGATGTTTTTTTATGCAAAAAGCCCCGTCTTCCCTGAACTCCTCTTACTTTTTACACAGTAGGCTAATCATCTTTTGGGAGATGGTTGGTGGTGTCCTGTAGATGTGCAGTAAGGTTTCGGAATTTTGATTTTGCCCCGGGGGGTCAAATGGGGGTCGAAAAATGATGTTTTTTATGCAAAAACCCCGTCTTCCCTGAACTCCTCTTACATTTTACACAGTAGCCTAATAATCTTTTGGGAGATGGTTGGTGGTGTCCTGTAGATGTGCAGTAAAGTTTCAGAATTTTGATTTTGCCCCAGGGGGTCAAATGGGGGTCGAAAAATGATGTTTTTTATGCAGAAAGCCCTGTCTTCCCTGAACTCCTCTTACATTTTACACAGTAGCCTAATCATCTTTTGGGAGATGGTTGGTGGTGTCCTGTAGATGTGCAGTAAGGTTTCGGAATTTTGATTTTGCCCCAGGGGGTCAAATGGTGTACTAAAAATGATTTTTTTTATGCAAAAACCCCGTCTTCCCTGAACTCCTCTTACATTTTACACAGTAGGCTAATCATCTTTTGGGAGATGGTTGGTGGTGTCATGTAGATGTGCAGCAATGTTTCGGAATTTTGATTTTGGCCCAGGGGGTCAAAAGGGGGTCGAAAAATGACGTTTTTTATGCAAAAAGCCCTGTTTTCCCTGAACTCCTCTTACATTTTACACAGTAGCCTAATCATCTTTTGGGAGATGGTTGGTGGTGTCATGTAGATGTACAGTAAGGTTTTGGAATGTTGAATTTGCCCCGGGGGGACTAATGGTGTCGAAAAATGATATTTTAAAAAGTGAGGTCAAGGTCAAAGGAAAATTCAAGGTCAAAATAAGTTGACGTATTAATAGCTCTTAGCAGTATGTATCAGCATATGAGGTTTGATAAATATATCTTGAATTGTTTATTCAAAACTGGTCTAGACATTAATTTTAGAAAAGTGATATCAAGGTCACAGGAAAAGTCAAGGTAAAAAAGAGTGAAGCATCGTAAAGCTTACATCAGTATGTATCATCATGTGAAGTTTCATTACACAACTTGAATGGTTTCTTTAAAATAAAGCTAAACACTAATTTAAAGAAAAGTTAAGTGAAGGTCAAAGGAAAAGTCAAAGTCAAAAAATATTGCTGCAGTTGGATATTTACATCAGTATGCATCAACATATGAACTTTGATAAAAATATCTAGAAAGTTTCTTTGAGCCCGATGGAAAGCAGGGTTCGACATTAACGTTAGTCCGTTAGTCTCAGACTAATACATTTTCATTCGGACTAATAAAAATTGTAGCTAATTAGTCCGAACGGACTAATAAAGTTTTCTAGGGGGAAAAAAGAATTTACCGATGTTCAAATTTTCGACAACTTTCAATTGAAAACCCCATATTTATTTTAAGCTTTCTAGCTTCTTGGCGGGAAGTTAGGTAATTCTGAGTCAATTTGGCGCTTAATTTTAGGACTCATTGGTATGAAATTAAACATTTTAGTGATCATGATTTAGTGTAACAGTTTAGATGATGTAATCATGTATAGAGAAAAACGAATGAGATCGGGAATACGATCATAGTTCCTGATTGTGCGATTTCAACGAATTCTTGGTATAAACATTTCATGTAAATGCTTTGTTTTTTTAAAAAAAAAAGTATAAAAAGTACATTGCATCATAAGGAATGAAGCACTAGTCCGGCCGGACCAAAACCTATAAATGTTAGTGTCGAACCCTGTGGAAAGACAGATGGAAGGGTGGAGGACGGACATGACAAAAACTATACATGTATTCCTAATCATGGTGTGGCATAAAAAACTTGAATCTACATTATATGAGCATGTTCCATCTATCAAGATTATACAAGCAAATTCAAAGAATTGTGGTCCTCTGCTTTTTGTGTTTTACTGAATGAGATACCATAATTTATGGCAGATTGTGTGTCAAATATGCACCCCTATCATATATCAATTTTTGAAAATTGGGTCAAAGGGGAAAAATCATAGCATGCTCTGAAACATTTTGTTGCAGGTAATGTACATGTCAAATATGAAAGTCCTATCTCTTTTGAATCAAAAGTTATATATACAATATAATATTTTTGAAAAGTAGGTTAAACTTCTAGGTCAAGGTCACTGTCAACTCTTTACATTTACTACATATTAATTTTCCACGTAGAGTCAAAAGTCATGATATATTTAGAAAAGTCTTTTCACATGTAATAAACATGTATAATCTGAATGCCCTTTCTTTTCTCTTTCAAAATGATCAATTTAAAATGTTATTTTTTGGAAAGTAGGTAAAACTTTAAGGTCAAGGTCTCACTTGGGTTAAAAAATCATAGTATATTTAGAAAGTTTTGTGGTAATGTGCATGTGAAATATGAAAGCACTATCTCTTATCATTCAAAAGTTATGACCAAGGTTAAATTTATTGTGACAGATGCACATACTAGCTGTCAATAAGATGGACAGACTGACAGACAAATGAGATTTAGTGTCCCCTCCCTTTCCCCAAAATGGGGGACAAGAATGCCCTTGCTGTTCTTGAGAAGAAGATTTATGATGGAAAAAATCCCCTGCATATTTCTTAATGCAAATCAATATTGTGTTTTTATGTCATTTTGTTTGGTGTTAAACATCCCTCTCAGGAATTTTTCACTCATATGGAGACACCACCATTTGAAAAATAATGAGGACAAGTTAGATTTGAGGTCAACATTCATTTTAGGAGTTTTCAACCATTAAGATGTAAAGAAATATTAACTCGATCCTTCCCCTCACCCCTTCCCAGACCCCTGTTTGTTCATGTATGCAAAAAAAAAAAAATGTTTATACAAATAGTTTAATGTGGTCCATCTCTGAATGATTCTCATTCCTAATTCTAGGAAGATATGTTGACACAAATTCATGAATAAAATGTCAAGTAATCTTATCATTGATGCAGTTTTATTTAATTTAAGGCAGTCATATTGTGAACATTTCCAGCTCATTAGGAGAGTGAGGATGACCTCTAGGGGTTCATAACCTTTATACCATTAAATTTACATAACATAATAACACAAGAAACAATATTATGTATAGTCAAATGGAAAAAGTTTCCTACTATTTAGGAGTCACATGATCATTTGTCATTACAGGGACAGGGAAGTGGATTGGGAGATCCCCTCAACACCCCCCCCCCTTCCCCCGGAATTTGCAGGACTATAATATATACTGGAGGAAATAAGAATGACTTTGGATGCCCTAAGTGTCCCTCCACCCTAGAAAACAGACCAAACCATAACTTCTTTTTTTTCTTGCTTCTCAGGAAATTCTGGTCTGGAACCCCCCCCCCCCCCCCCCCCCCCTCCCAGAAAAAAATTCTGGATCTTGTAACTGAATGTAACGTTGATAACGGTGGATAACTCTTCAGAATGTGAAATTCGTCTATTGTAGCATCGGATGTAGCATCGGATGACCTTTGATCCTTTAAACTTTAACCTAACCGTTTGCATTTCAGACTATTTTACCCAAATCTATACCAAAACTTGTACTTACCGATTGTTATTATTTAGGCCCTGTCATCTTCATGAAATATAATCCACCATCTAACACAAAATGAAATAATTCCTACCGACATATATGCAATGATGCACACTAGTATCCTACTGCACGTGCAGTGAAATCTAAAATGATCACAAACAATTTATAAAGTATTTGCCTCTTATGTAAATTACGTACTACTTAGCGAGTTACGACGAACTTAGGTAGTACCTACGTACTACGTTACGACCGTTTCACGAAAGGTACTTAGAACTGTCGTAAATAATCGCACCTTACGTACTACTTAATTTTACCGGAAGTAAAAAAATAATGGCAGACGAAACACTTTCTAAAATTAAGAAAGAAAGGAAGAAGAATTTTACCGCGAAGGAGGTAGAGGCTCTGGTAGAGGAGAAACAAAAGGATATACTGTTTGCTCCACATAAGGACGTCAACACCAATCAGAAGAAGAACCAGTGTTGGAAAAACATTTGTTCCTTGTGCGTATACAGCATTTTATAATATGAACATTTTTGCTTTGTTTAATAATTCAGTATATTAATATAAAATTTATCCATCGTTTTAAATAATTCATTACGTAAGTCAATTTGTACACGAACTCGCTAAACATTATCCCTAATGCGCCCCTCATATTGATATTTATAATGTTCGAGTTTCCTCTTCAAGTCACATTTGTAACGCATCTCGGACAATAACAATAATAAAACATCAGAATGAAGAGCTTACAGTGAAGTATCATATGCTAGTAACTTAGCAATCATGTAAAGTGAGTCACAAAAGAGAAGGAAACGTTTACTTACTGAAACCAATGCAATGATGAATGAAATCGTCTGCATGTTTTCCTTTTGAGCTTGACCTTGACACTGTGAGAATATCCCTTATGAATATAAAAATATAATATTTTGGCTTTTAGTCCTATTCAATTTTACCTTTTCGGTACAACACACATTGCCACCTTACATTGGATATAAGGAAACAGAATGGTTTTATTTTTAATTTTCATATATATGTAATCCAGACCCACATGATCTTTTTCTCAATGACTTTTCTACTGATAATCCAGTGGTGGATCAATTTTTTTCTGAATGAATACAATTCATGGATTTGAAAAAGGAAAAACTTCTTTTTTGGAATTGAAAGTACTGTAAAACATTAGTTGTTTTTTAATATTTTTGTCTAACTTGACCATGACATGAAGTATGAGAGAGAGAGAGAGAGAGAGATAGAGGGGAGGGGGAGAGTCGTGAAATCGAATTCATTTCTTAGTCGGTTCAAAGATTCTTTTAATGTTAATGGTATTAGTTGGAATTGTAAGTAATAGCAAATTTCGTCGTTTTGGAAAAGTTGAGACAGAGATAATAAATGGTAGGCTAAAAAGAAAAGAAATGATTTTGACAAGCCGAAAAAGGGGGGGGGGGGCTATCATATTATTTGCAACAAAAAATTGGGGATGGGTTGTCCATTTCATAAATAAACAGCTAAATACATTTGTTGATTTAAATTTTTAGAGTTCAAGGAATTTAGAATTAAAGAGAGGAAAGGCCAATCCATTCCTGAACGTGTGGCTTAAAAATGATAAATAATTAAAATGCCAATATTTCTTTTAAGAGACTTTTGACAAGGACCATGTCATAAATGAAAAATGTTGAATATCAGCGTTAATTAGCATATAATTTCTGCTAATCTGGATAAGCATATAATATTCACTATCCTAACACGATATTATATTTCTCCGTTAAGGTACATGTAATCAAGTCCGTTAGGAACCGAAAAAAGGCGCAATTTTACCAGTTTATACTATTCTGAAGAATTAATTGAAATTTCTTATTTGAAATTCATTTTCAATCCACCTTTGTTACTCTGAAATGCGCAGTGTAAACGGTTGACCCAGGGGGAAATTTTCAATGTCAGAATATACAGTAAAACACGGTTTAAGCGAACCGGGGGGGGGGGGGGCTAGAGTTTTAGAAATAAGCTTGAAAGTTTTTGAATTTCCTCCTTCTCGATTTTTGCTTGCAAACAATTTTGCAAGAAAAAATATTTCATGCCATCCTAGAAATAACATGATTAAATACATAAACGTATTACATTTTGTGAACGCATGAATGGAAATAAATTACTCGTTTTAGTAGGGGAAAAAATCATTGAAGTATTTTACTATAAAGGCTTCTCAATAATATTTTATTTTGAATTTTAGAACTTTCTTTTTCTCTGACCTAAAACTCTTAAACCTATTGACTTTTTTCATCAATTAGAATAAACAGCATCGGTATCCAGGAGAGAACGTCCGCTGAAATCATCAAGAAATGGAGAGATATTTCATCTCAAACTAAAAAGAAAGAGGCCCATTACAGAAGGGAACTTGTAAGAACTGGCGGTGGACCTGCTCCTGTCAACTCCTCCGACATTGGTCAAAAGGTATACCATTCGAATTTATGTACATCAAATAATTGTAATTTAAAAAACTACAATAACTTAAGCATAATTATGTACTGCATAATTGATCACTAATTTTTAATTGCAGGTTGTTGCAATAATAGGCAAGACATCAATAGAAGGTGTAGAAGGCGGGTTTGATACAGATGATGTTAATGGCGAGTTCATTTATATTGATTTCAATTAGCCCCCCCCCCTTAAGTTTGCTTCCGACGCCTATTTTTATTAATGAAAACAAGTCATGCAAAATATTAAATATTTAATTTATATTTCAGAGGTCGATCTCTTTAAGGTAGAAGATGTGTGGCTCTCGCCAGCTACATCTACATCTGAGCGAGCTGCCGTCCCAACACCACGGCAATCCCCAGGTCCATCCTCCAGTGAACAAGCCGCTACCGCTACCCCAACACTTCCGGAGGCTCCAGAGAAGCAACTTCAACCAACCAAAACGTATGGGTATTTCTGAGGAAAAATTGAATTTTAAACTGATGAATTTACATAACCTTTTCTACATGTAAAAGTTTGTGATCTAAAATTTTATAGGAAAAAAGCAGCTTTAAAACGGAAAAGAACTGTGGAAGACGTTTACGATCTTCAGTGCCAAGTTCTTCAACAGGAGCTGGAGAAGAACAAGCTAGAGATGGAGAGAGCTAGACTTCAAATTAACATTTTAAAGTCAGTGCAGGAGAAAGTTGCAGCAGGGGGGCAAAATGACACTTTGAAAGACTTGTTCTCCACCTTGAGTGGCTGAGTGAGAGAGCGAGAGACTAAGAGAGAGTGTGTGTATGTGTGTTTTAATATTTTTGAATTACGTAAAATGAAAATACAGTATTACACACCAGAGAGAGAGAGAGAGAGAGAGAGAGAGAGAGTTTATTGTTTTGTTATATTAAATTATTAGTATTTATCAATTAATGTTACGCTGAATTGTTCAAAAACTTTACCAAAAATATCTGTAAATGAATTTAATTACAATTTTTGGTAATTTCTCATTCTCCATAGAAGTGAAATATGAATATCCCTAGTACCAACACATATGATTATCTATGAAGGTGAATTGTTTTATTGATGCTTATACATGTAGCACCTTACCTATGCAAATCGCTGTCTTATCAATTGCTCTCTGGTTGTTTTGCCGTCATTGACAGGGCCCTGGTAAGTTACCTCGTCTTGAGCTTCAACTAATGCTTCTTCAGGTTCCTCAAATACGGGAATCCGTTTATCAATACAGATATTATGGAGTTGACAACATACATATACAATCTTGCAGCATTTTGCTGGTGTGTACTCAAGAGCTCCGCCTGTTTTGTGGAGACACCTGTAAACAATCGATTATACTGTACAGCAGGAAATTAACTCGCGGAGTTAATATTTGCTATATTCGCGGAAAAAGGAAATGAATTTCCGCGAATTCATACAGTGATTAATTCTTTTTTTGAAAAGTATAAGGATAAATTAAAATATCACTGTTAGTAAATCGGGGAAAATTTTTCTGATGTCCACAATGATCAAAGTACATTTGAAATGGATTACCTGAAGCGAGATTTCAGCACTCCAAAGGCCTGTTCAACTACCACACGAGTTCTCCTGTGAGATCCATTATACCGCTCTTCTCCTCGGGAAGTTGGATTACCAACTGGTGTCAGTAGCCATGGTCTTAAAGGGTACCCAGAATCGCCCAAGATCCACCCATTCATTTGCCCATTCTCAAATTTCTGTGCAATCGAACAATTGGCCCATATAAATGCATCATGCGTTGATCCTGGCCATTTACTAACAATGCTCAGAAATCTGTTAGAGAAGAAACCAAATAAGTTGCATATATCTGTATTATAATCAAAATATTACTGCTAAATTATATCAAGTTGTACTATAGCCTAGGTAGAACATTCGTGCAAAATAAATCAAAATAGAAGGAACGGTATACATGAGTGTCTTTTTCCGGAATTGGACATGTACACGGGATGTTTTGGGGTCACGTAATCAATATTAATTGGAGGCGTGGCTATCGATCAGCATCATTATCGACATCTCTCTCTCCCTCTAAAATCTGAATATGTGTATGGTATATAACAGCGATGTTGATATGAACTTTTTTTTAAATGTGGGGACACGCACAATTTATTTGCTACATTCTGAAAATGGCAATCAAACACGCCCCAAGACGTGATTTATATATCAAGATTAGGTTGAAGAATTGTACAATGATTTATATCATAAAAAGAAACACGAAACTTCAATTTACGGGATATTTTCTGGGTATTTAATCCACCAATTCTGTACTAGTCTTCATAGTGAATTTCACTCGTAATTTTTTTTTCAGTGAAAAGGGGCTAGGATATTCATTAATATTTACATTTCCAATGTCTTTGTTCGAGATAAAATTACAAATAGTTAATGTACTTTATTTCATCGATAGGCGCTGTAAAATCAAAAATTCACGTGCAGGGCTGGACAAAAAGAGACAAGAAGTGGGCTGGGGTTCTAGCACGTGCCGGATTGGGACCATGTAAATTAGGAATAATTGTCAGATTTTCCGATTTCATGATGATGATCAATCGATTGGCTTGCGTGATTATTTTATGCCTTCGGCGTTTATGCAAATTAACACGAAAGCCAATTAATAGATTGATCACATCATGAAATCGAAAAATAAGACAGTTAGTCTTGAAATACAACCACTTATTCTGAAAGTAAATTAAATTTTTATGAGAGAGAGAGAAATCTAGAGAATGTACACATATGAATTGAATCATTTCTTTTAGATACTAAAGTTGGCACTTCCAGATACTTATTCAAAACTTGCATGAAGCTGCCCCCCCCACCCAAACTTTTTTCCCAACATTACTTATACTGTAGTAGATGTTCATTGAAAGGCTGGTTGCCCCCCCCCCCCTTTCAAAAACGATGTATACCTGGCTGTGCGTAATACTAGTAGTTTTATTTTTAGTCCTCATACGTTATCCTTTAAAATTGAACAAAAACAAATAAAAGAAACTCATAATCGTAAATGAAATATGACAACATGTGATGCTTCTTTCCAAACTTTGCTGGATAGTTTTTCATAGTTTTTTTTTTTTTACACGTCAAATATATTTACTTCATATCACAATCAGCTATGGCCTGGACGTTGATAGAATGATATCCTTTTCTGCAGACGTACAAATGTTCATCTGTTGTAGGTGCCGTGATGGGTATGTGAGTCCCGTCGATGGCGCCAAGGACATTAGGGAAACCAGCGATTGCATGGAAACCAACCTTCGTCCTTGTTGTCTCAGCATCACCAGTCGGAAACTTGATGTTGTTCATTGTCCGACACAAGATATTGATAACATCGTCTATAGACCTAATCAAAATTTTATATTGAATAAATTTATCATAAGGGCATTTTTAAAATTTACCCTCTCGCTGCCGACGGACGAAAAAATGGACCAAATTAATCTTTTTTTAATCTTCAAGCATTTTAAGGAATCGATCTCTCATCCCTTCAACAGCTGTATTTCAATGTTTCTTTCCTTTTCTGCCTTTATAGGTCTTTCTCTTCCAATTTTTTTTATCATGAGTTGGGAGAGGACAAATTAATATTTTTTGAAAAAGGCCTATTGTAATTTGGATTATACTATCATAAAAATTAATTTTATCATCCTTGTATTTAAATACCTGCAAACAGATGACTTGGAAATTCCCATAGTGTCTCCAAACACTCTCTGCTGGGAGCCGGAAGCAAGGAATCTTAATGTAGCAAACACTTGCAATGAGGCTGGAAGACTCGCAGATCTTTTTGTTAGTCTCTCTAGACGATCTTGAACTATGTCAATGATACTAATGATGGTCATTCTGTCTAATCGGTAACGATGGATAATATCGATGTCGTCATAAGCATCAAGTGGATTCTGCCTGTCCCGGAACACGCGCTGTCTGCGTAAATTTCGACGCACCTGTTCGTCTGTGACTATCATGAACGCTGCCATCTTTGAAAATTAACGTTAGGACGTAATTTTACGTCACCTCCAAGGTGACGTAAAGTTACGTCGTAACGTAGGATACAACGTGAATTAAGACGCTTTCGTGAAACGCCGAAATTTAGCTACGCACCACTTACGTTGTACTTACGTACTACGTACAACTTACGATGCTTTTGTGAAACGTTATTTGTTAGATTGCTGAAAATTCATATCAAGCGAGTTTATTGCCTGTAGAGATTACTATAAATGGCTGGGAGGTGGACAAAATATACATATTGGCCAGAGAATGTGTCCAAAATTAGGGAGTGAAAGGTAGTTGATTGACTAATGCTAGAAAGTGGAGAAATTCTGCCCAAAAGTGCTAAAAAAAATATTGCGCGTAAATTGCACCTTTTTTGCATATGGGGATCTGTAGCGTTATGATCAAAGACAAATATATAAAACCAGATCTGCAGCTACATGGTCACCTGAGCATATTATGCTCAATTTGATGAATACATGTATTATGTAAATTATTGAATTATATTGACTTTTTCCTTGGTAAAGCCCAATATGAAGAAGTGTGCATTTAGAGGCAAACACCATAGTGCGGGTATTACTGTCTCATGACAGCATCTAGTTTTTATTTGTATTTAATAACCATGGCAATATCATAATTCAATAAATCAATAAAACGATACAAAAAATTTTCTGAGTTTGAAATATTGTTATTTTCTTCAGTTATATTAATTTAAAGGTAAGTAATATATATTTCTTAGGTACCAGTTGACAGTATTTTAACCAAAATATATTATACTAAACACATTGTGGCTAAAAACCACTGCATGTGATCTGAAGTGGATTTTCACAGAAAAGAACAACGATAACAAGATAAATGTTGGTCATTGTTACGTAATTTCATGTCTCCACAAATAGGATGCTGGTATGCAATAAATGAAAGGCAAGCATTTTATAACATTAATTAGACGTCAAACATCTTATACTAAAACAATAATAGTTGCTGAATTGCAAAAAATTAGATAAGTTGTAAGAGAGAGTCACGTTAACTTTTTACTGTTCAGTTTTCCATTCCAATAAAACATAACTAGTGAAGACTATTTATTAATCATAATTTATACCTTTGGAACTGAAAAAAGAAAGATTGTGATCTTAGAACAGTAATTATTTCGTTAAAATAGTTCT